GCGTGATACGCTTCTAGCCTTTACCCTCTCCAAAAAGTCTGATCTCCACGCCTGGATAATCTCTCTTTCCTCCCTAAACAGATTCTCTAACTCTCACGTCACGAGTTCAGCCTTACGCAACTTACCCTCGTCCTGACACGACCAGATCTCCCTTAACTTGTTCCCCAACTTCTTTACCTGGTTCAAGAGTGGTTCTTTAACGCGCTTTCTCACTCTTCCGACTGCCTCACTCTCCTCTTCCATTCTTAGTCCACATCTTTTCCCAGCTCGCCCTCTCACCCTCGCTCTAGCCTCCGCTACCGTCTCATCGTGGTAGTACTCCCCGCGCATATAACCTTGAGACCATATCATCACATCATAGGAAATCGAGGTCTGGAAGGTCACTCGTGCCAGTACATCAGCTCTATGCTCGTGGATCAAATCCCTAGCTCGTTGTCTGTACTCACTTGCTGTCAAGTCCTCGTCTACGTACGCTCGGAGAAGTACTGTCACAGTGTATCCTACGCTTATCAGTTGCTCTTCTACACGCATCACCATGGTCGTCCTTCCCGGCATTCCCTAAGCTGCGGCCTCGAAGAGAAATCTCACATCCTCTAGCCCCGCATAATCGATCTCTGCCCGTCTCCTGCAGTACCTAGTCAGGTCGATAGGCCTCAGACAGTTCACCCAGCTAGTAACACCTATGATGTCGTCAAGCGTCTCTCTACTGGGCGGCCCCCATCTCAAACAAATGGCGTAGTATACTTCCTTGAAGCGGGGCGCTAAGCCCTCCCAGAGTGCGTAAAGTGTGTGGTCCACTGCTCTACTCAAACGTTCCACACTCCCATAGGTCTGCCCTATCACGAAGGTAGGAAGTCCGAATCGCCAATCCTTTCTCGGGTAGAGGGTCGGATGTGGTGGACCGTATACCAAGCAGCTCCAACTCGTCCTCCCTCCAGAGAGTCTTGCCAATTGCTGATTAACGATCACTCTGACCAACAACTCGCTTCTCCACCAACTCCTGCTCGCCCCTGCGAGCGTTAGCCCTATCTCTAAATTGTGTGCTCTATCCGGTATCAGATGTCCGACCCCTTCTAGATCATGAGTCATCTCGGGTCGTTCGTCTCGTAGTATCATTGTCCATAGGAAGAGCCCCTCTGCGAGCCACGTTCCCAAGTATCGTATCGGTACACGCCCTGCCTCTTCTAACGCCACAGGAAGTGGTATGTCATATCCAACCGCCGTATCTCTGGGTCCCACAAGCTTCCTCACACTATACGATTCGGACTCTCGTGAGAGAACATAAGCTAACCAGGCCGCTGAATCACTCCTCATTTCTTCTCCTACTCTCGGTCAGCATCACTCTACTTCCTCCGATGCACCCCATCTCTCGACGTTGCTAACCTTTTATGATCGAGTAGGATCAGTAGCTAAGTTCACTCAACTGTTGCCCTAATGTACTCCTCTACCTCCTACGTCCGGACTGCTACTCCTATCCTGGGAAAATGGGCGTCTGTTACGTTAATCTCCTCCTCGTCAACCTCACTCTCTGGGTCGACCCAGTCTGGCTCTCAGGCGTCCTCGTCGTCCTCTCGCTCCCAACCCTCATCGTCAAACTCGTCCTCGACGCGGTATGGCGCCTGTCCTATAGCCTGGTAGTATTCCGTCAGCTGATGGTCGTATATCAGAGGTCATCCGGCGTCCTCACTCCACCAGCTCCCCCAGTCGTCTGAGAAGAGCCGCCCGATGCAGGTCACGTACTCGGGGCCTGCTCGGAGTTCACGGTCTAGCCAATCCCAAACGCACGGAGATTGGGGTCACTCGTCGTCTATCGAGCGGATCAGCTCTATAAGCTGAACCCTCTCGTCTCCCCAACGAGGCCCACCGGTCGCGAGCGAATAATAGATATAGTCTAGGTCGGCAGGCCTTCTCGCCAGGATCTTGAGATCCTGATAAGCCAGGTATGTCTCGACCACTCCACCAATACCTCCAAAGACACTCTCTACTACGAACGTCGGAACTATCGCCCGCAAGCTCCTAACGCTGTACGGGAAAAACCCGTCCCGTGCTACCACCAGCTCGCCCGTGATATCAAGAGGAGGGCGTCCGTGAAATAGCGTCAACGGATCGTTCGAGTCCTCCGCTCGGAAGGCAACTACCTCTTCCCCTAGGTAGCGTAACGCCCTGCTAACTGCGTCACTAGTCCCTGTCGTCGCGAGGCCCACCACGGCCTCCCTGACCGCACCCGGTCCCAAGTACAAGTAGGCTCTCACTACGCCCACTCCTTGCCCCGGCCGGTGCTCTCTGTACGTCCAAAGTCACACGTCCTTGGACAAGATTATGAACCTCCACGCAAACTGGCCGTCAACGTGTCGGATGTTGCGCCCGGGGATCGTGAGCTCCACCAGATCCCCCTCTATGAGTTCAGGGGGCTCCAAGTCCCAGTCAATGGTAGCTCCATAGACCTCTACTTGCACCCGCGGCCACATTCGACTGGCGGCTAAAGAGATCGCAGCAAGAGGGAGGTGTAGATTAATAACTGAAAATTCTCATCGCTCGCCTCACGCCTTCGGGAACAAGCTAGTAGGTTCACCCGAAACCAGGTTACCGCAGCGTCTCTTTCCCTTCTTCTTCTAGGGAATTCTT